TATAGGACCTTTGTTGGCAAAGTAGTGTCTCTGCTTTTTAATAAGTTCTCTAGGTTGGTCATAATTTTTCTTCCCAGGAGCAAGCGTCTGTTAATTTCATGGCTGTAGTCACCATCTGCAGTGATTTTGAAGCCCAACCTGTCATGTTTCCCCATCTATTTCCATGAAGTGATGGGACCGGATGCCATGATTTTAGTTTTCTGAATGTTGAGTTTAAAGCCAACTTTTTCACTGTCCTCTTTCACTTTCATCAAGAGGCTCTTTAGTTCTTTTTCACTTTATGCCATAATGGGTAGGGAGAAGGTATTTGCCTTACTCTTCCTCCACCCAGTATATGTGCCTCATCCAATCAGCAAATGACCTGTAAGACCCCTATCCTACTCCTTGTCCCTTGGGTATAAAAGTGGACCAAGGACCCCTGTTTAGGGTCGGTTCTCCCTCGAGCTGGCCTGCTGTTCTAACAGTGTCTCCTATTCTAATAAACTTCATTTCCCTCTCATTCTGTCTCATATCTGGAAATTCTTTTCAACCCGTGCCCGGACCACGAGAGTTACGGTTGTTGTTGCCTTGGGTACGTGACTGGGAATGGGTGTGGAGGGACCTTCCGAGTGTCCATAATGTTCTGTTTCTTGATGTCTGTGCTGGTAACAGATGTGTATTTACATTGCACATTCATTAAGCTGTACATACACCTAAGATTTCTGTATTACTTCTGTGTCTGTTATCTTTGAGTAAAGTTTGCTAAGAAGAATCAGTGGCGCACCGTAGTTCTCCATTTGCAGTGTCTCAGAGGGAAGCTGGGGGTGTAAATATGTACTCCTGTCCTGATTCTGTGTCATTGTAGAGTGTTATTATTATTATTACTTTTCTTTGTGTTTGATTGACTTTCCTATTTTGTAGTCAGATGTCTTTGAAAAGTCATCAGGATTTCAGAGGCATGTTTGGTTCTGAGGGCTAGATGACCTTCATGTGCTTTTAGGATTCTCTGAAAGCACTTACAAAGTTCCCCCACTACTTTACAGCCTTTTGTGTGTGTGTATGATTGTCTCGGCTGTTATAATTTCCTTTTGCCTTCGATTGAGTTGTGAGATTCTAAACTTGTCCTCCCCTCCACTGCTTTTTGGTTTGGTATGTAATTTGCATATTTTCACCATGCGAAAGCTATTTTCTATGGTTGGAAAAGATTTTTTTCCAACAGTGTGAACAAATCATTCTTTGTTCTCCTTATTGTGCCTCCAAACTGGTACGTCCGGTTTATGCTCCAAACAACAAAAGTCTGTCATCAGAAATTAAAATGCCAGTAAGAACAAAGGCAGAGACCATGAGGAGCTATTGGAGAGGTTTCCTCCCTATTTGCTCCTCTCCCCAAGTTACTGCAGTTGCCAGCAAGTTGGAACTTTGCTTGGTAAACGCCTTGCTGGTAGTTCTACCCTTGTATTTATTATTAGTGTTGGTTTAAAAGTGAACTCAGAGCCCCTGGTGGTTCTGCCCAGGATCAGTTAAAATCCCCATCTCTGAGTATTTTATTCTTTGCTATTTTTAACGAGTTTTTTTTTTTTTAAAGAAACCTAAAAATCACTTTGAAAGGCTTAAAAAAATCAATTTGACACTCATTTATTTGAGAGCAATATTGCCAGTGAACATGTTGTATAAAATGATTAGAGGTAATTAAAAACGGCAGCCAAAGTGTAGCCTGTAAGACCATATCCATTTTCTCTGTGTCCTCCCTAAAATGTGCACATCTTATCTGTATACACATTATTAGCACTTTTTCTGTTCTGAAATTGTATTCAAGTGTAGAATTTGCATATATTATTTGGAGGGTTCTCTCCTCCAAGTGTCACGCTTGACATTTGTGACTCTTTAGGAAACTTTAAATTTGTGACTCTAAATCCATGGCTGATTCATGTCAGTGTATGACAAAAACCACTACAATATTGTAAAGTAATTAGCCTCCAACTAATAAAAATAAATGGAAAAATAAATGAAAATAAATTAAAAAAATAAATGAAAAAATAAAAATAAATGAAAAAATAGTGATAGTGCTTTCCCCGCTTCCTTCCCTGATGTTTTAATGAAAGATTCTAGGACCTTAACTTAGACATAAGAAGGACGGGGTAATGAATATAGGGATGTATTTTGAAATCAATCCTAATGTTTTTTCTTAACCTGTTTCTGTACATTTAAAGAGGGATTTAGAGTAAAAGCTTAGAATAGAATAAGGCATTTCGGTTTGTTTTAAAAGCTGTTATGCTCAAAAGCGTGGTATGTTCAGATTTCAAAATGTTTTTGTATATCAAAGTAAGCTCTTGGGTATTAAATCCAATGATGATAAATGTTTATCATATTGTGAATGTGCCATGACAGGTTTGTTACATTCTTTATTATAATTTAGTATAGCAGCTCGGGTAAATATGTTTAGACTTTTTGTTTTAAACTTTAGACTTTTTTTAAAACTTTTTTTTTAAAGCTTTATTTGATAGAACCAAAAGCTAAATGCTAAACTTGTGGCATATGGAAATAATATTACAGAGCAGTGGATTTTGTGTTAGAATACTGTGATTTGTTATAGGTATAATAAACCTTATTTGTGAGAAGTGGTTTTCATTACTCTGAATTATAACTTCAGTGCAATATCTACAGTATTGTTTTACAGTTTATTTTTCATTTCATTCTTGGTAGAAATAGTATATATATTGAAGAATACTATTTATCCATTGTCCACCAAGCAATTTATTTTCGAAAAGTAAATGACTTGGCAGCTTTGGAGATAGCCAGTAATGTACTTATAATGTAATTGGACTGTATTAGTGATATACCATTCGGTGAAAGTGTTCTTAAAATCAAAGAGATGATGGTAATTTTTAGATTTCAGAGAATGTGTGATTATTTGATGGGGTAGGAGATTAGACAAAATGACCCTTCAAGGATTTTTCTAAATTTAAAATTCTGTTCTATAAGAATAAAATATAGATTTAAGAGCCGTAGTTATCTAATGGCCTTCATAGTTCATTTAGAAATTTAATGTCTACAGAGGAATTTGTAGAGAGGTAAACTCTTTTAGTTTGCTATCCTGAGTTTGTAGCTTTTGTGTGTTTAATTGGTGGTAGGTGGTGCTGTTGTTGCATAGTTAGTGGGAAGAGCCTAGCGTTTCTCATAGCTTTTGCTTCCCAAGTGCTATAGAGGGATTTGCCACTGTGGTCAATAAATACATTTTAATTATTTTTGTATTCTAAATGAATATGATGGCTCTTTGGGCATTACCATAATTTAACATTTATAAGAGACAAAATTATTTACAGTATGAAGCACTTCAATTCAGGTAGAAGAGAAGCTGAAGATCTAAAAAAGTGTTGATATAAAAGGCAGCCCTGCAGATTTATTGTTTAATATGGGAAGACTGATAAACCTTTTGTAATATATAAAGTGTTGATATTTTAAACTCCTTGTTTGGCAGGCATGTTTTTAAAGAAATACCATTGGCGTGTTTACATTATGGAATGTTTACCATTTTTACATCTGTTGTAAGTTTTTGGGTTAATAGAATGAGTTTTACAGTATTTGCCATTTTCTTGATCTGATATAACATATTCCATCAAACACTTGACAATTAAGAAAATGTATTGGGAATGACATTACCACTTACAGTACTCTGGAAATACTTTTTTAACTAATTATGATTTAATCTGTGCAGTATTTCAGCTAGCAACAGATTGTCCTTTTGAACTACTAATTTTGAAAAGCAGTTGTTTTCACACTTGACACATATATTAGTCTACCTCTTTTACTTTTGGATTAATAAGCTACTATACCCTTTATATTTGAGGAACAAATGTGATAATGACTCAAAATGAACAGAGATTCATATAGTGTTTGATCTTAGTGTATAATAAAAATGAAATTTAAGGATGCATACATTTTTAATGAATAGAATATTGAAACTATCTTCATTTTGAGTTTGTTTAGCATCTTTATCATCTCAACTTATAAATGCAAAGAATATAGGCTCAGAGGAGGTAGAGGAAATGTGGAGATGTTGGTCAAAAAGTATAAAGGTTCAGTTTTATAAGTTGAGTAAGTCAGGAGACCTAATGTTTAGGCATGGTGACTGTAATTAATTACATTGTATTGAATACTGAAAAAATAGATTTCTTGACTTTCCTTGGTGGTCCAGTGGTTAAGACTCCGTGCTTCCACTGTAGGAGGCTGTGAGTTTGATCCCTGGTCAGGGAACTAAGATCCTGCATGTCATGCGACATGGCCATAAAAGAAAGAAAAGAAAATTAGATTTCAGGTACTTTTATCACATACAGAAGGTGACTCTTGAGAAGGTGATATATATATATACAGGTATATGTATATCCAATCTTCATGTTGTACACCTAAATACATACAATATTTACTAAAATATATTTAGAGAAGAAGATAAGTAATAAAGGTTTATAGAGGTCAAATGATTTACTCAAGGAGGTTAACAGCTAGGGTTGCAGAACTTAACTGGCACCCAGGTCATTCACCCTCCACCTCAGTGTTCTTTGCAACATGTTTTGCTTTTTCTCATATATAGCACATTTGTGAAAGTTACTATAGCATTTAAGTTCTGCTTTTCATAAAGCTAAGAATATTTATTTTCATACATAGAAAGCTGAATACTAATAAAAATCCTAGCTGCTTTGCTCTAAAATGGAAAGCAGTCATGTAGGAACTGAACAAACTTTAACAAACTTGTAGTTTATTAAAGATAAAAATTCTAGGCTTCCAAAACAGACCTTTTATTTTCCTATTCATATGAAGTGCATGCTCTTAACATTTTCTAAAAATATTTATGATAATTTAACATATCAATATGCTTAATGTTTATGGTCACCGTAAGTGTGTGTGTATGTGTATATATTACATTTGAGACCAAAAATCATGGTAAAAATTTAGGAGATCTTGTTTTTGTATAATGATGTTCTGACCTTTGTTTTCATTTCCTGAATTTTTTCTGTCTCCTGCAGATCAGTGGGGAAGCACAGGAGCTTTTTTCTGTTCGACATGGCCCCATTCGAGCGGCTAGAATCTTGCCTGCTCCACAGTTTGGTGAGTGTAGCTCTTAAGAAGAAACAAATCATTCAGAAAGAGGTTTCTCTTTTACGGTCTTGGACACAGACAGCAAGAATGATAACTAAAGCCTGTTTTCCTCCAAGTGTCCATAGCCTTCCCCTCCTCCCTCCAAGATAAAGTCTTAAGTTCTGTCAGTTGAGATGGAAATAGGTAATCTTAACCAATTCAATATGGCCATTCACTTTCTGCTGTGGTTTTGATTTATCTTCCTCCCCTTTGATCTCCATTTAGTCTCTGACTTTGCTGGCTCTTTCTTGAAGCCCTCTTCTCTATTGGTTTTCATGGCAGCGCTCTTCCCAGATCCCTTCCTTGCTGACTGTGCTGCTTTTGTTATGTTGCTCGTTTAGCTTTCTGCTGTGGGTGTTCCCCAAGTCTCTGATGTTCTCAGGGTCTTTGCTCTTCTCAGTTTTACTTACTGCCTTGGAGAGCTTGGTTTTCACCATTATCTCGATTGCAGATGAGTCTCTTGCCTGTATTTATAGCGATGGCAGAAGTACAACTTTGAACTTTTGGCCTTGAATTTCTGCTTTACTAATGAAAACTTCTTAATGTTGTATGTAAATATTATGCATTTTTATTAAAAAAATAAGATATATGGTTAAATTATATCAGTTGTTTAGAAGCCGAAATAACTCCCAACTCTTTAATGATCTGAGCTTTCTACATACTGTATTTTCTCTTCAATTTGCCAGTGTTTGCTCAGTAATCTTCTTGCATGTGCATTAAAAACAATCATTTCAATACCATTTGTATACTTATAAAAGAGAATATTAAAATATTCAAATTCTGTTATATTTTTAAAGTTTGAACAGAAGTTGGGAAATCTTCCTAACACTGTACAGTTACTTCTCTAAATTGGTGAGAATGATGTTTATTTAAACAGAGTTTATTTAAACTCTGCCTAAGCATTATTAGAGATTAATTTAATTATTAAATCTGCTTAATTGAAATGTTAAAGGTAGAGGTAATAAGGCAATACTATCCTGCAGTCATGGGAAGATTTTTCCTTGTTACTGAAGTATGTGGCATTATACAGTTATCAGCTCTGTCTCTGCTTCACACACACTGTTTTCTGTTGCATTTGTGTTTTGGTGAAAGTTTTGACAGAGAAGATTGTTTTTGGAATAGCCAGTGTTCTCTTTGCATGATTGGAATTAAGAACTTTATTACTAAAGGGGTCTACTGTGTCTTTGTTTCTTTTGTATGTAATTCACAGGGGCAGATTTTTCTCCTTTCATTTCATTTATGAAGTTCTTCTCTTTATATCAACTATTTACTATTTATTAAAAAATTTTTTTTGGTTGCATGGTGTGGCTTGTGAGATCTAGTTCCATGACCAGGGATAGAATCCAGGCCCCCGTCAGTGGAAGCATGGAGTCCTAACCACTGGACCACCAGGGAATTCCCCTCTTTGTGCCAATTATTAATGTTCAACTTTTCTCAAATTTTTTACTTTGGGCAGAAATACTTCATGGGAGAGTATAAAACTTTAGAAGTTAATATTGTTAGTAGGATTTGAGTTTGTTTAATTTACTTTGTCTAATTAAAAGAAAAATTTCTCCATCCACTATAATACACCTTTTTAATATACTTTAATTTTAATATTTAAGATGTAATTTCACAAAGCTACATGTCTGACTTACAGAAAATGCATGTGTTGGTTTTATTAATTTTTTAGATTTGTTTTTGTCAAAGCTATACATGCAACTGATTAGATAAATTTTGTAATGGAAAATAGACTACCTAATTCCTCTCTTTTGCCCATTTTGCTTCTGCATGCATTTTGGTGGAATAAGTCTTTAATAGTTCTGGAAAAAGGAAGTGTGGTGGATCTTGTTTTTGTGAAGATCTCTTTATTCTTCCTTAATTAATTCTTGATTGTTAATTTGGCTGGATAAGAAATATGTTGTAAGTAATGTTACTTCAGAAATTTGAAGGTATTAATCTGGTGTTATGGTTGAAGAATCTTAAGTCATTTTGATACCTTTTTCTTTGTAAATGGCTTGTTTATTTCTCTGGGACCTAGTAGAATGTTGGCTTTATTCCCAGTGTTCTGAAATTTTGCAGTGTTGTTTGTTGGTTCATATATTATTCTGGGCCTCTTCAGTGTAGAAATGCAAGTAGTATAGTTTTGAGAAAGTTCCTTGAACTACTTTTTTGATGATTTCTTTTCCTAAATTTTCAGTGTTCTCTCTGGTACTTGTATTTGACTGTTACACCCCCAGAATGATTAATTAAAAAATAATTTCATCCCTATTCTCTTTGGGATATTGTCTGAATGTGGGTTGCTAACTCTTCTTGAGTAATTCTTTTCTGTTACCCTTTTTTCTTAACTTCACCTTCTCATACCCAACACATCCCTCCCTCCCTTCCTCTCTTCTCCCTTCCCCTTGCTTCTGCCTCTCTCTCTCCCTTCCTTTGTCTTTCTTTTCGTTTTTCTCCCTCTCTCCTTTCTCCCTCTTTCCCTTTCTCTTTCTTGGTGTAATTTGCATGTAAATATTATCAAACAGAATCCAGTGATACATAGGAAGAATTATATGTCAGGACCAAGTTAAAGATATTCCAGGTATATAAGGTTGGTTAACATTTGAGAATCAATCAGTGTAATTCACCATATTAGTAGAATGAAGAAGAAACACAAATAATCATTTCAATAGAAATAGAAAAAACCTTTATGATTAAAAAAACTTTTAGAAAGAAACATCAGTATGCTAAAAAAGTCTATAAAAAAATCTACTGTTAATATTATAATCAATAATGATATATTAAATATTTTCCTATTGAATTTGGGATGGATTTACCATTGAACTTTTGTTTACCATTGAACTCAAGTCCTTGACATTACAATAAGATAAGAAAAATAAAAGATGTAAATATTAGAATGAAAGTTGTAAAATCATCTTTATTCATAGATAATTTGAATGTATATGTAGAAAATACAAAGAAATCTCCAAATGGTTGGAATTAAGAAGCAGTAAGAACTGTTGCACAGCAGAATCATTCGGTCTTTGGTGAACTGATTCCCTCACAGTGTGTTTTCCCAGCGTTAGTTTCGGCCATCACCAGTCTTCCCTATCTCCACCTTCTTCTCTGCAGCAACACTCCTCTGTGATCGTTTTATTGAGCTTCCATTTCCTAGGGTGATCTGCCTTTTTTTAATCAGGTCTCTCATTTTCTACTTCCTCTTCTAGAATACGCATATCCTAACTCCTCTTGAGTTAGGACATTATTCAACTTCTCTTGAGTTAGGACATTATTCAGCATCAGTAGTATGTGTTCCCATAGGATTTATTGTTTTTTTAATTTTGGTTGCTCATTGCCTCTTACTTGTAGGTTTGTAGGCTGTTTTCAAATCTTCAGTACCTCACAGAGTATTTGATACAAGGTGTTAATATATATTTGAATGTTCCTACATGATCTAATCTTTTGAAAGTTATTATCTAGAAGAAAAGCAAGTTCCCTTTCTGTAGGTGTTACTGTGCGAAGTCTGTCTCCTAACAAAAGTGAAAAACTGAAAGATTCAGATGTTCTTTTACCCCATAGAAGGTCATTATTATATTTAATGGGCATTTACTCGTATCAGCACAGTTTGTGCTTCCCTGTTTTTTCATGGTCACTAAGAGTAATTGATTACTTTCTTAATGAACCTACACCTGCTTTAGAATTTTTATCAGTGCAGTCTTTCAGGAAGCTATGACCAATCACTTGGTATTTTCATGTCAAATAAAAGCTATTATTTATTCTCTTTCAAATCAGTCATTTTTAGAAATTAATTTCAAGTCAATTCTTATTACTCTCAATGACTCTAGTGGTTTTAAGTAAATCAGTACCTGACTTGTGAAATAAAATATAGCAATATATGTGATTTAATGTAAAAGTTAAAAATTTTAGAGAGCTATGGATATTGTGCTAATGATTATTTCCAAGAAGTGGGATCAGAGGCCACATTTGCCTTAATACATTTTAAATTTCTTAATTTAAAGACCATACAGTTACTTCTAACCACTTAAAATATTCATTATAAGAATCAAGAAATGCTGAAATGTAGAAAGTGAAAATTCATGTGATTCTATGTTATTAGTGATAAACCCAGGTTGCCCCTTTACTTCTTTTATTTCTTCACTCAGATACTGAGTGTGTATTTACAGCTTACAGTATGCATTTCCTGTTTTTTTTTTCACCCTTGAACTATTCATACATTCTTGAAATTAACTTGTATTATATACAGTACCTGATTTAAGTTCTTTACATGTATTATATGTATTTGCTTTTGGATGTGTGTGTATATAGAACAGTTTATATTGTGAACATCTTTCCATTTCAAAAGTTCTTTCAGCATTGCCAAAAATTATGTTATTCCATTGTATGATCATTTATATTAATTTTAAACCTTTGCCCTATAACATGTTACATTGTTATATACGTGTGTGTGTGTGTGTGTGTGTGTGTATACATTTAAAAAGTATACAAGGAATTATTTTTAGGATAACTCCTAGAAGGAGAATTACTAGGTAAAAGAATGTATTCATGTAAAATTTTGACAGATATTATAAAATTGCTTCTCAAAGAAAGTATGCTGTCATTTATACGTGTGAATTCCCTTTTCCCACTTCTGTGCTTTATTGGCTATTATGCCTGTGTGGTGGGGGAAAATCCTATTCTTTAGCAATTTTTTCTGTCTTTGAGTTCTAGGGACAGTGGATAGTCATCATATTTTTGCTGTTTATTCTAATAATACCATGCTTGTTTGTACTACTGATTTCAACTCTTTACTAGATTATTAGTGATATATTATTATGTATGTATGTGGGTCTGTAGATGTCCTGCATTGTTGTTCAGTCACTAAATTGTGTCTGACTCTTCGCCACCCCATGAATTGCAGCACACCAGTCTTATCTGTTTTTTCACTATCTCCAAGAGTTTGCTCAAACTCATGTCCATTGAGTTGATGCCATCCAGCCATCTCACCCTCTGTC